TACTATTTATTCATTCGTTAGATCGTTCCCAATTATGATTTAGACCATCCGATCGGACTGTTGATATGCACGGGTACCTAGCATATAAACTAACTTTCATAAAGTCATCTCCCACGCCCACAACTCCAAAAACGTGATCAGAATTTCCAGTTTACCGTGTCCCCGCTCCCAAAATCGAAATTCAAGGGCATACCGGTACTATTTCTTATCATAATATAATTTATCTTCTTCTAAACCTAATCCATCAACAGAAACTTTTCTATTACAGCCAAAGGGCATGCAGCAAAATCCATGCGTTAGACAGTGCAAACGATTGAAAGGCCCCCCACGGAGCACAAAATTGATCGGATGCCGTTCTCTTCCTCATGGCAACTAGATAAAATTCTCCATCGAAACAAATCGCGCACATCGTTGACGAAAGTGCGGTGATGTCCTCTTTGAGCAACTTGTCTCGTTTTGGGAAAAGAACCGTCGGAAGTGAGCAAATCCCGTCTACCGACATGATTTCCACTAGCGCCGTCGAATAAGGTTGACGATTGATGAGGAGGAGGAGGCTGAGGTACTTTCATATCAATCTATACAAATTAACTGGATGCGACAATCTGCATCCGTCTGAAGATCAAACCCTTTTCTGTATTTAACGTTTCCCCGCCATTCTTAGTCTAATCATCGCTTTCTAATAAACAGAGCGATTCTTGTAATAAATTAATATAAGAATTCATGTATAATAAATTCATTTATATAAATATAATAGTTATATATATCAATCACTGATTTAAATGAGGATAGTATAGAGTAGATATATTAAAACTAATCTAATGTAATTTATTAGTATATAAGTTACTTTATTTTATATATAAAATTCGTTTATACGTAAGTATATACTTCATTCATTAGTAAATAGAATTTTCTAAAAACCTTTCATATAAAACCTAATTTTTTAATAATTTAAAAAATCTAATTCTTTTTTCAAAATTTTAATTATTATTAAAATCATTAATAAAAAGATTTTTTATAATATAAAGTATAACAATTTCAAACTAAAATAAATTATTTTTAAAAAATCTAAATATTATAAATATTTCATTTTTATTATAATCTTTCATAATTCTTTTTTGTAAATATAATAATTAATTATTAAAATATAAATATTAAAAAACTCTTAATTTTAGTATATTTTCGAAGTGGCCTATATGCTGATATGACCTATATGGTAATGAACCACGTTAATACATAAGTTACCTTTAATCTTTCAATATTACAAATCAATTACAAATCAATTACTAAAGATATATATATAGTTTAATGTGGACCTCTGTACGAACGTTTACAGTAGATTGCTGTCCGAGTCTCTAGAGAGACGAGGAAACCTCTGAATGCTTCCCCGCACAGTGATATGATCATATTGACAGCGTCGTGCCGCGTTTCAGGTCCGTAGATCGTTCGTTATCTTTGAGCTCAAACCAAAGACGCAATTCTACTACCGGTACATACATTGTAAGACTCTCACACCACCAGCAACCAGTATCCATATGCGTTGTAAAGCAGCCTTCCTATCAAACATCGCCCTCACGCCCAGTGGCTCATCCAGCTCATCCTACCTCCAATAGGAATCCTTGGCACCGAAAACAAAAACTTCGCGTATCGTATATCGCATTCCATTTATCGTATACCGTATCCCAGGTCACTTTACAAGCATGCATTGCATCGCCTCGACTGGAGTACGCGTCTCGAGTTTGTATCAAGAAATGCCAAGCGCTGAATGAACTTGCGCTGGATGAAATTAAAAAGGGCATAGCCACAACACTGTAAGTCGGGTACCCTACTTTCAAGCCACCCCCCTTTTAGGCCACTTTTTACACCAAAAATGGAATTTTTAACTCTTTTATTTATAAATAGAATTTATTAAAAATTTACATATATATAATTTAGATCGTTTTGAATTTAATTTGAAGTTTTTAAATTTTTAAGATTTTTTTATATTGAGATCTAAAGCTTCAAAATATCGATTTTTAAATTTGTATGAAAATTACATATAAATTTGAAACTTTTATAAAATCTTTAATAACTTTTTAATAAAAATTATTAAAAATAAACTATAAAATTTTATTATAAATTTATAATATATTTATTTTAAAGAATTCAGAAAAAAAAAGAAAATTTCCTATAAATAAATATTTAAAAAAATACCCTCAAAATTATAGAGATTATTTATATTACTCTAAACTCACTATATACTATATCTCTATATTTATTATTATTTTTTAATTTTTTTTAATTTCTATATAGATTTAAGTTCAAAACTTTCAAAATAATATATAGTTTTCTTTTAATAATTATTATTAAAAAGTTATTAAAGATTTTATAAAAGTTTTAAATTTATATACAATTCTTATATAAATTTAAAAATCAATATTTTAAAGGTCTGGATCTCAATATAGAAAATTCCTAAAAATTTAAAAATTTAAAAATAAATTTAAAATAGTTTAAATTATATATATTCAAATTTTTATTAAATTAGATTATATATTGATAGAGATATTAATAGACTAAAAAAGCGATTTTTGATATAAAAGGGTGGCCTAAAATAGGGGTGGCCCGAAAGTAGGGTGATCGATTTATTCAGCTCAGGAATCAATTCCCCTATTGATTCTCCTCTCTTAACAATCAAGACTACCAAGATACGAACCATCCAATCGTGTGCCCACTGCTTTCGCCCAAGAGCGGAGACCTGCTTGGCATATCACGTGATATCTCATCCATGGTCCAGCTCGTAATCATCGTTCTCATATTCTATTCTTGTAGGCGATATTGGCTATAGATTCTATATCTTGTGTAGCCATTGTGTGTTATTGCTTGCGTCTGTGGCAATTCTGGCTACAGATGATAACACTCGAGACCAGTGGATCCTCCACCGTCTTTCATGGTGCCTAAAACCCCAAGGCTAAGGAAATATGACAGTGTACTAAGCAATTGTAGCATTTGATGTACATGAACATTGCACGATCTAAGTGGTGGGCTGAAGTAAAACGTCAACGTTAATAAGGTAAGGCTGATCTATATTCATACAATTTTCTTATTACTACACACTTCGCTAGATCGAAGAGGGAAATATATCGATTGTCCATCAGATAATCATGACAAAACTTACATGGCGTAGTAACCATCACGCTTTGCTGTCAAGATCCTCCTATTTCCTGTCTCCACATTTCTTTCGGCACTTGAAGAGTCAAAGCTATTGCAGATCAGTGCCTACGAGTGTCGGGGCTATGTAAGAGATCAAGTATATCAAATCAAGTCTGAAAATCTGAAGATTCTTTCGTTATTATACTTTTATTCTAACAACTTTCAGTCGTGCCATTGAGCTTGAAAGTCTCTCAGCCACCTGTTCGAAGCACGGTTGATCAGCCTAAGTGGGTTTTGTCTCACCGGAATACGTTGGGACTAGTTGAGACGTTGATCCCTCGATTCTGATCCCCATCTGGAGATACGGTAACCGTTTTCCACAGGAAGTATACTGAAGTCTCCACAAATATATCATAAAATCTATTTCAACCATTCCTTCGATGGTGCAAGTAGTACTTGCTGCCCCGAAGCTCTCGACTCAGGACTGAAAGAGATAGGATACTCCACACCTTTAAATAATATGATAGCTACCCAATATGCGGACTTTCTGATGGGGAAAGTTTGGAGAGAAGATGGAGATCCTAATGTAAAACATGGGGAATCTGAGGAATTCCATACTTGAAGATTTGCAACAAAAGTCATATATCGGAGCATTTCAAGTTGATTGGATCCTTTTCATATGACTTGGAAGCTATGAGCATGGGAAAGTTTCAAAGAATATGGGGTTTCAAACAATCCCATATCCATTCATGTGCAAAAGGATGTTTGTTTTTCTGTTTTGATTGGCATCCTTCCAAGGCAATTTGACCTTTCCTCGAAGTTAGAAGAGGGCAAAGGGTTCTGGTGACTCCCAGGTCCATTTCGACATTACAGTACTGGAAGATTCCCAAGAAAGCCGGCGGATCTAAATAATCCAAGTGTGTTGAGAATTTGCATCCGTTCTATATAGGGCTGGCTAGGTGAGCGCAGAACTACTTCAATGTCTTAGCTACTGTCACAGTTGAGACAGTCTCTCAATTCTCGGACGATATTTAACTTGGTTTGTGTCGTCTTTACTACTCTCGCATTTTCTTTTCCCTTCTCGGGACATTTGCCAGTTATCCTAAGTAACATTTGATAATGTCTATCGCATTGCTTCAAAGGCTGTAAAGTGTAACACGCGGAGTAGGAGGACTAGAAAATTATTAAGCACATGTTCAACTAATCGAATTGGAAGGGATTTATAACGATGGCTCATCAGAGAATACATCAGGTATCCATATCGATTCATTGATGTCGCAATCCGTTACATCTCATTTGCGGAATTTTCATAGATGATCCTGAAGTGAGGGGAGAAAAGAAAAGCAAGCATGGTTACTTTGTTTGATTACGCTAATCCTGCCTGCCGCTTCCGATGAGCATTTGTTATTTCGTTCCTATCTAAATGCTACGTTTCTATTTAGAGGGTGATTCTTGTTCTGTCGGAGAAGAAGATTTCGAGAGTACCTCAAACTTGTGTAAGTGATAAGAATGATTTATTACGATTATGGTGTGTGAGGTGAGGGTGTTGCCTTTGATTTTCACTGTGATGCGGTATCACGAGAATCAGAAAATCACAAATTGGAAAAGCAGATATTCCACGATGGATGGATGCACTGATGATGTATGCCAGGCTCCAAAGCTTGTAAATCACACTGCGCAATGTTTTTAGGATACCTTAAGTTATATTCTAAAATAAAGCATAGGAAAAAATGCAAAACACCGAAAAACCGAAACTCCCAGTGACCAGCCCGCAGTCTCTTTCCCCTGTCTCCCAACAATGCTAAATCCTACCTTGTAAACTTCCCCTTGCTTATCACTGCGTCTACGCCATCATCTTTAAAATTACGTTCGAGCTAGGTATGGCGACTTGGTACGCGATGCTTACCACTGTTTATTTTGGGCTCAACCTTTTTGGGTGTAGATGCTGGAGGCTCAGAACCTGTCTGGGAATTCGACATGTCTCTCGATCTTCCTCTTGATCCGTCTCTTGGTGTGTTGTTAGGTTTATCAACTGCCGGCGGTAATTGATCTCCAAAGAAATTCTGTGGGTTTCTAAGCCTTTGCAAATCTTCTGCGAAGAAATCAGGTTTATTCACATCCTCCCTTACACGTGGCCTATTCTGCGTACTATTCCCATTGCCAGCATTGGATGGATTTTGCGTGCTCCTTGTTGAGCTGCCTGAAGGTTGAGGGATACTTTTTTTTGGCCTTATTTGTCTCTTGATTAGCTTCCAAGCTCTTTCTAGCCATGTTGTATTGCACCACTTGAAGGGTTTCTTTTTCCATTGTCTTCTTAGCTTTCTTGGCCTCGCGGTGCGTTTCCGCGTGTTCCTCGTGGGCGAGCTCATCCATCTCTTCTTCTTGCTTCCTCAAATACCTTAACAACCTCAATATCTCTCAACTTTTTAATATCTTTATCTGAACCTTTTGTACCTCGGACCCTTATGAAATTCTTCACCTCCTTGTTGTCTTTCGTGACGTTATAAGTATCAAACGCCTTCCAATCTCTCACAACCTGTGGCAGTTTCTCGTTGTTCTTGACATTCGTGCAACGTGTCTCGTAGTTTTTAACATTGTCGTGCTCGGCAAGCGTTGCAATTCTTGCCTTGGTTAATTCTTCTTTCGAACTTGACATTTTGGTTGGATCGGAAAGGATATTTTGTAGATTCGTTTAGTCCGTAATAATTGTGTATGAGAAGAGATGACTCTTATATATATGAATATGTGTGGTTCGTAAGGTTGTAGTTTGAGATGTCTCAGCTAGTGAATAGTTGTTGTGATTTTGAGATGAATGTTGTGATGATATTGTTATCGATGGATAGAATCGTGCTTTTATATATCCTCCGAATTCTCTCATCTCCATTGGCCTCCGTGGGCTCTGGAATCCGAACGTTGAGCTGCCCAACACTGATAGATGCAGCTACGAAACAAGCGTAGCAGAACTATACAGCGCGTTTACTATGGACATAATCCTCGTCGAGAATAGCCTGAAGGTGCTAACAGTTGACCCACGTGTCGAGCGGGGCAAGCGGACTAGGAATATACCGAACTGGGCGATGGATTTGAATGACTCTGTGAAGGATGGAGTTGACATGCATCACCGGCGTTGGGGTAATGGATGGATCTATAGTGCCTGTCTATCAGACGATGTAGACAAGCAAGCCCTGCTAGAAGCAGCAGCTGACCCACAGCCCCATTTCAATGTGCTAGGACTAACGAGCATCATGATAGATACCGTAGATGTCTTGTCCCCCGTCAGCTTATCCAACGGATACTTCGAAACTAAACCCAATGTGGTGATATCTCAGATGCTTGAGGATTGGATGGACCTAGCACGCAACCACAGTCGACTGGGAATCTTCAGGGACAAGGCTTTCCATAGGCTCGTGGTCGGTGGTGCCATGCAAAATAGCGAGCAGAAGCTCAAAATACGGCCCAACGAGGACGACTTGCGCCAGGTGGCCGACTTTGTTCAAAATGAAAGCAGAGGCAACTAATGGCTGGACGAAAAGAAAATGTGCGCGCAGTTGCAAAACCAGAAGTTTTTCGTAACAAAGAGTGGCATGATGGGATTGGGCCACCTAGACACCGAGCCTGGGGATGAGGTATGGATATTTGACGGTGGCAGGTTTCCTTTCCTAGTCAAAAGACAGGAACGAGATAATCTGTACGATTATGACTACGTGGTTCGCTGTTACGTCCAGGACATTACGTTCAAAGAAGCCTGCCTTGATAGGAAGCAGAGATCTTTCAAGCGCACACTTCGGATACATTAAGAAAGGGCTAAAAATAACAATAGAGAATTTTGTTCCTTGCTTAGGTTAGTCGTCTACTATACCTCTTTATCCTTCGCTTCTCTATTTCGTATAACTACGCGATGCTCAGAGCGACAACCCTGTTCCATCACTCATATATCTGTCTGGAGCAGACAACTACACAAACCTCATCCGTCATCTTTAACCTGATCTCCCTCTTGTTCAGTAACTCTACACATCTACTCAAATACCAACACATAATCATAACACACACCTCCACATAACGGTTCCCCAGCACCTAACTCAAAACCCACTTCTAAACTTCACAATTTATAATCTATCAATTTATCCCCTCGTTATCAGATTATCTCCCAATCCGATGTAACGCATCTACTATCACTTACTTATTACTATTATATCCATCAGACTTCCTTAATTTCTATTTCGATTGCCATTCATATCTTCCCCATCTCCAGCCCTATTCATAACCTCGTGCTCTCATCACCTCCTCGCTTCCCACTGACCACCATGATAATTGTCCTGATTCCTTATCCCAACCCCCCCTCAAGAACAAATTCAACAAACCCAACGACCCCGATAATTCCCATTAACCCATCCCATACCCCCCACCACACCACCACACCACCACACCCCAAACAATCCACCTACTCCCCCTTCCCCCTCCATTTCCCCACCACCGACGCAGCAGCACTCTCCACCACCCCCCTCCCTCCCCGTCCCCGTCCCCGTCCCCACGAAACCCCCCGGAATACTCTTCACCACGGCCGTCATATTCCTATTCCCATCCACCCCCACAAACCCATATCCTCTCCCCAGCTTATCTCGATGCATATCCCCTCCCTCAACACCGCGAGCGCAGATACTGTTGTTACAACTGCGGAGTACATGTAACAGATTCAATGAAGGAGGATATGCATTCACCGGAGAAAGCACTGCGCTTAAAGATATATGCACCAATGAAAGCAGAAGAAGAAGGAGAGGATCAGTCTTGCAATGTAAGAAAACATTTCCCAATCGATATAACGATCTAGCATCTCAAGATCGAGAACAATATCCGTTCAGTATGTCCAGTAAACACACGACTCCAATCTCCACGCGATTCTTTTCTTTTATTCGATTTTTTTGGTTTTGTTTCGAGTTCAAGTGAATAAATAGATAAATCCTGATTTTCAAATATATCAAACAATATCATATCATATAGTATAAACACTTACTTGCATACTGACTTACAGACTCACACACACACTTATCGACTATCAGAAATCAAGGAACTCAATATTCCGCAACTTCTCAAGAATTCCCAAGAATGCCTGTGTCTACCGGAATGGAATGTAATTCTCCACTCTCTTTAATTGGGAAGTTTCAATCACATTCCAAGAGAGAGCCTTGTTCAGAAGGAAAAACTGTGTAATCTTCGTACCATCTATTTGTTTACTATATTTTCATTTACGATTAGTGAATTGGCTATGTAGATAAATAAGTAGGTAGGTAGGTAAGTAGTAAGACTCCCACCCCAAACTTTCGCTGCACCGCTATACGAATATAAGTGTAGGTATCGATATTACGTATTTACAATCGAATATGAATGAATAAATCAATAGGAACATCACATCATTAGGGTACATTCGGATCGTTTTTTTGAATTATTTAGAATTAATTATTAGTTGGATTCATTTATCGAATAATTCAAATATTCTTAAATATTTTAGTAGAGTATATGTACTGTTTGAATTAGAATAAATTGTTTAGAATATTATTTTAAAATTGGAAATTTAATGATTTAATAGAAATCCTGATAATTTACAATTTCTAATATATTCGATTTAATTTAACATAGTATTTAAACAATATTTAAAAGTGGTATAAATAAAAAGCTTTATTTTTTTTAAAATAATCTTTTTACATGCTTCAAAATAGGGTACCCGACTTAAATGTTATCAGATCACTTGATACGATGTCAACATTCTGTCTGCAGCTTGTTTATAGTATAGTATAGTATAGTATAGTATAGCAACATATACAAATTCAATCTAGAAATCGACTTTTCAAAAGAATCTTTGAGGAAAAATAAAACTCCCAAGAGAAAAAGATAATAGCGTACATTGAAACCTCTCCGTGAGTAGGTACTTAGGTAGATAGGTATTCCAAACCCCGAATATAATCTTCCGAATCCAAGTCTGATCCCACCAATACTTACTTACTTCTCATCGTCTCATTCAGCATTTACAACAAACGCATTTACATCGAGTTTGTTTTTCTCGCATAGCGATCCGTGATACATAGGTCTACAGCTATTGAGCTTGGTGTCTAGAAAGTAAGTGCCGAAGTCTGTGCTTGAAGACGGTATGTTTGAAGTTCGGGCAATTTTGAAGAAGAGACGCTAACTAAGATGATGTGATCAGGGACTTGAAACGTTTGGATATTGATATTCTAGAATTAAAGATCTTCATTAACCTTAACCATGGCGAGAACACATCCATTTTGGAATGCGGGCAGAATGTATATGAAGGTTTGGAAGAAACCGAAACTATCACGGTCAATTCAACAGGAAATTGGAGAGAGTCAAAACATTTCTTAATCGTCGTGATATTCAAACAATATCTGATTTGAAAAGGTGGGTAGGTATATTATACTGCTTTACTTCTCCCAATCTTCCTAGATGTGATTGGAGTCTCGATGACCAATAACCCATGTAAATGAAACACACGTGATGATTCCCACGTGTTTGAAAAGAGAAGTGTGCATTGCATGAATGAAGGATGAAGGTCAAAGACTCTTTGTTTCACGGTATCATTATCCGTCCCACTTGGGAAGATGACGAGGATTGAACGCCTATTGTTGTTGATTGATTGGAGTTATATGGAAGATATGTGTATTCTCACACTTGTGAAAATTATGCGTGTACACTTAGTCGTACTCCATTGACGCAACACTGATACTTTGATGAAATGGATTTGAATCACGATCTTCGTATTCTGTGGACTTCCCCAAACCTAGCACGGTAATGCCGTACGAAGTAGACGATTGATTGAAAAATGTGTTGGCTGTAACCAATGTGAATGAGATACACACCTATATATATCATCTCGTATCGTATCGTAGTGCAGTTTAGGGCAATTGATAGATGGAAAGAAAGGCTGTGTAATAAGTACTCATTAGTAGATAGTGGAAGTAGGCTTGGTTGGGTCCAGAAAATCCAAACTTCCTTTCCACACAAGGAGGCTCATCGTAATATCACATAGGTTGGTAAGCTTTTAGGATTTCCAAGAATAGGTTTCGGATTCCACATGGCCCATACTTTTTGTGTGGTCGAGGTGCTTCCGAGCCCCCTTTGCCGTGGTGTTTCATCGTGTACGAAGTATGTGTATCCCATTCAATTTCGATATTGAGATTGAGATTCGAGATGTAGAAATTCGAAGCTATTGCAGACTTGTATTGTCGTATGGAGTGAAGAAATACTTGTGCGCGTGTGTATTATGTAAGTGGGTAGATCTACCTTCTACATCGTAGATAGAGATACTTGGTCGTCTTGACAAAAGAGTAGTGTGGTGAGAGATTGCGCTGCGATTGTGATAGACATGTATACTGGGCAAGGAGCTACGATTGTATCATTTCATCACAAGCTCGCACTCTTGCAAGGGCACTTGGTATGTTACTCCATACTCACGTATACTTTGTTCTTTGTAGATGTATAGCGAGACGGCAAGGCCAAGGCTGTGTGTTTGGCGCCTGTAAAGATGTGATTCAGCAGGGGAGTGTTCGTAAGTTCGTAACGCTACCAGTACTCTGTTAGTGGGTGATGATGAGTATAGTACTGTACTCAGCACTCAGTACATGCATACAATATATATATATATATATGTACCTAGGTACCTTTCGATACTACATCCATATCACATACTGACCAACAGATCCCATACATCCCTCCTGATCTGGGTATCAGGTGCCCATAACAGAACCCCAGGTCGTGAGTAACCGATGAAATAGATCCATCTTCGCGACATCGCTGGTGAATGATTAAACGATGAACGGTTAACGGTTAACGGACAAACGGATAACTTGATACGTTTAGTTAACTGAGATGATTGAGATGACTAATAATATAAACAGACTGCTTCGTATGTATGTAGATTGAGGACCTGATTGATTCGTTGGTAGTATAATAACTATGGTTTCTTAAAATGAGCATTTCTTGGCGGAAGCTCCAAAGATTAAACGAAGTCGTCAGTCAGTTACAGAAAAAGCATCTCATACCTCGGGGTCCAAAGCACATCTCACGGAGTTAATCATCATACTCCGGTGTGACTTGGGCTTCTGCAGGAAGATTCGATTGATTGATTGATTGATTATGAAGGAGAGTAATCTGGTGGATGGATAACAAGAAGAAGATAGCCTTTTTCCTGGGTGGTGGTATGCATGTATGTATGTATGTGTATCTAGATATGGTGGGTAAAATAAGATACTTTGGATCTATGGGTAACTTAACTTGTCATGATATAATATGGGATGGATGATATGGATGATATGGATGATATGGTGATATGGTGATATTGCACAGCTGCACAGCCTCTTTCACCTCTCACCTAGGGATTACCTATTATTACTTCCCTGGGCAATTCCACACTCCAATTTATTATATTCCAATCCATCTTCCTGACCACTGACCAAGCTGTGACCCTCTCACCTCTCACCTCTCACCTCTCGCCCTCTCACCCTCTCACCCTCTCACCCTCTCACCCTCTCACCCTCTCAACCCTCCTTAGGTACCGACGTTTACCAGGTATCATCCATCGTCTCTCTCGCTCTCCTACTTCTCTCCCTACGAATTTCATTGGTGAATGTAACCACAAACATCCAACAAATCAAAAACAACCCCCAACCTTCCACGCCTTTTCTTACTTCTACTTCGTACATTCCCTACCAGACCTTTTACAACGTCGCACGCAGTCCGCAGATCCGCACTCAACTGCACTGCAATTTTTATATTCCTTGTCTTGGAAACCTTTTCGTTCCTGACGTCCTTCACTTATTCACACTCTCTTGTTCACTGGGCCGTTTCCTATTTTCTAATCGTCCCCGAATCCTTCTCCCCCTCCCCCGGGTGCCCTAGACCATTTTCGACTTTTCCAAACCTTCAACTTTATGCACTGGTCTGCTACCTAGATTTCGAGTTTCCCTGTAGGCAAATCCAACTATACACAAATTGTCGCAACTTCGCACACACATCCATCAACCTTTAACGTTTGTACAGAAGAGCGATTCGATTAACTTTGATCCCCATTCGAGCGAGCGATACAGTCACCATTAAGATTTAGAATAAATCAATTCCTTCTCAACAAGAATACCCACCTTGTACACGACCGTCTTCACAATTGGCCCATAGATCTATCTATTGTTGGATCGTGAAACTCACAGTCGCCATTTCCTTACTTTCTATCCACTGTGATCCATCGACGAATTTACGCACCCTTTCCCATTATCACGACGAATACATATTACAGAAGCAGAGGAGGCAAGAGACACATTAGGATTATTGGAGAAATTTAGAAATCGGCGGAACTTGAAGATACAACCTACGCTGGCGACGACGGTGCTCGAGTTGTCGAGCTGTTCAACAGTCGATCGACAACCACCGCAGTCATGTTCATCAACACAACATGCAATGCGACGCTGGATGATATGCGAAGTATGAACTCCTTTCACCAAATAATTAGGGAAAAAATACTGATGATGCTGATGGTAGTTGGAATGTCGGAAGAAGTGTTGGTAGGAAATTTCACATTCCACGAATTGGGTATAGTAATTTCCGCGGCGGCGGCCTTGATCGCCATCCTTCTCTCACTATATCTCATGTGGATGCATGCACTGCATTATACAAAGCCCTATGAGCAACGACAGTATGTGTTTTCAGCCATGCACTCTATGCATATATACTAACTCTCGGTAGCATCATCCGCATCCTCTTCATGGTTCCGATTTATTCAGTGGCCTCCTTCCTTAGTTTTTGGCAATATTGGCATGAGATATATTATAGTGTGATATCAGAGTGCTACGAAGCATTCGCCATCGCCTCTTTCTTTGCCCTCCTATGTCATTATATTGCTCCCGATCTTCACAATCAAAAGATTTACTTTCGAAGCGCAGTTCCGAAGCCATGGGTTTGGCCGGTAACTTGGATGTGGAAATGTTGTGGTCGTGATAAGGGTCCTTGGAGAACACCAAGAAGTGGCTTGACGTGGTTCAACATTGTATGGGCTGGTGTCTATCAATATTGTTTTATTAGGGTTACCATGACCATTTTAGCCGTGGTCACTGAATACTTTGGCAAATATTGTGATTCTTCGGATTCTCCAGTATTTGCTCACATCTGGGTAATGTTCAGTTTCTTTACTATTGAAGCCCCCGCTAACTTTTCCACTTTTTAGATTCTAGTCATTGAAGGTGCCGCCGTAACAATTGCGATGTTTTGTCTTATTCAATTCTACATTCAACTACGTACTGATCTTTCTCCACATAAACCTTTCCTTAAAGTTGTTGCTATCAAAGCAGTCATCTTCCTATCCTTCTGGCAAAGCTTTGCCATTAGTATTATGATGTCATCTTCCATTGGCCTTGTCCAACCAACCAAATATTTAGCATATCCTGATCTGAAGATTGGTATCCCTAACATGTTACTCTGTATCGAAATGGCTATCTTTTCGATTTTGCATTTGTTCGCATTTCCTTGGAGACCGTATGCTTCAGATGCGACGCCAGTTAAATACCCAAGTTCAACCGGTGGTGGTTTAGAGCCGATTGGTCCTAAGCAAGGTGGTCCTCTTGGAATCATGGCTTTCGTTGACGCCATGAACCCATGGGATCTCGTCAAGGCGTTTGCTCGAAGTATGCGTTGGTTGTTCGTAGGTGTCAAGCATCGGGAGACCGACCCTTCATACAAGCCGGCATCTTTCAATAACGACAACGACATGTCTCTTCAATCTACAAACTCGGAACCAGATACATCACACAAAGGACGGGATGATGGTTTACCGATTGCCAACGAGTTTAGACAGAATACCTTCGGTAGTAACAAAGGAGCCATGGAAGGCGAGGAAGGAGTTGGTCTAATTGATAACGCACAACCTAACCCTACAAACCTCAACCATTCAGGCTACATCCCAGCAGCTCAACGTTATAACTCCCAAGGATTAGATATCACCGCGAATGGTGCGCGATATAACGACCCAGATCGCCTGATGACATACAATCCAAGTCCCGGCTCAATGCGGAGGCAGGAGAATCCTATTGGAATTGCAGTAACCGGAGAACCAGAAGCATACTTAACTCAAGTAGCACAAACACCATATCTTATACGACCGGTATCGCCATACAGTGTACGACAATTATCAGAACCAGAAAGGTTTCTCGAGCAAAAACGAGCTCAACGAGCGGCAGAAAAAGCTGCACGAGATCGCGCCGATCAAGAAGCACGTGAACGAAGTGTAGCACCATCAGAACAATGGGCTAATTCAAGAAGGCCTATACACCCAAATGAGCCACCGAGTCATGTCCATAACGCATTATGGGGATCACAAACGCAATCACCCCCGAACACGGATAGATATTCATAGGGAAAGATTCACGGCCTGTTGTATAAAACTTTTTCTTTGACAAACAAATTCGATATGCATCTCGTCAAAAATTGGGAAGCCTCAATGGATGCCTACTGCATGTAACATTGGGAATGGGGATAAACTTTCATGGAAAGGGCGTTGGGCGGTGTTTTTTTTTAATGAGGGGAAATTATGATTTGATGCGCTTGCGCCAATATACATTCGTGGGGCATCTGCCTGGCAGTTTTTTATTATTGAGGGGATTGGGTAGAATTTGGCTCCTAGGCTGGTTGTGTTTAGTGGCTGTATAATCAGCGCCAATCGCAAAGTTCATTTGTGAATAGGAATAGCCTCAAAAGCTCATGTGTTATTGGAACATGGTAATTATTGAGCTGGATTCATGTGGAATACCAGGTTAAGGCGTTTTCGAGATTGAAAATGTTAGTTTGGATTCATAGCAATTCATAACATGACAACTCGCGGGGTGGGGAACAAATACAGAGAGGGAAATGGAAACTGTGTGTGATAGTTAAATAGTAAACTGTTTGAGGAACTTTACAAATGATGCAATTTCTGGTGTCTGAATTGTTATGAGTTTTTAGTGGGAATACGATGCTATGTGAGAGGGGTTGTTCGGGATATGATGTTTACTCTGAGTCTCTGCGGATGCTGTGAATGCTGTGAATGCTGTGTGAATTGGTGGTGTAGCTTGGAGAGAAAATGAAAAATTGGGGCTTGCGACTTCTAGGTTTACATTTTGGAAGTGCAGATTGGATGTTGGATGTTGGGTTTTACATGGTGAGTGAGTATAACGTATGCATAGTGTTAGTGCAATGGTTGAGTGATGAGGAGGAATCATTTATGATGCGATATCCTGAGTTTGATGAATTTCATAGGGGAATGGATAATTTCGCTTCGAATTGGTTTGATTTTGATGAGGTGATGAGGCGGTTTGTGCTCCCTTTGAATAGTTAAGTGCGTTGTGTGGAAATGGCGGGGCTGGCACGAATGGTAAGATATGCAATAGAGGATCTTCTAGAAGGGTGGCCTGTGGTCTGTTTAATGCTCTTGATCCGATTCTTGCGTGCTTGAAGTATGTTGTGGTGTGGATATTTGGAAGTGTTTCATTTTGGGAGGGATTGGTTGGTGGGAGTTGGGAAAAAAAAGGGATGTCTTTCTACGCGACCAAGAAAAAGCGAAAAAGAAGAGGTGAATGGAATTGAGTGCATGGGATTAGGGGTTGTCTGAATTCTTATTGGGCATTTGAAATACGCGAGACGAAATGTGGAATGTAGATTGGGAGTGGAATGAATGGAAAGGAAGGGATGGCATGACATGGCATGACATGGGCGTGGATACACATTCCTCTCCATTATCCATGAGACGATTGAACTTTTATTGAAGATTCTCTCTTCCTTTTACTCTTCCTCACCCATTGATCTATTTCCACCATCGATCAGTATTCAAACAATTCCATCAAACAAAGTCGTCAATCTACGATTAAACCGCAACCAAAAGCGAAGCACAAGCAATTTTACTCGATATAATCCGCTCAAATCACTCTCGCAATCATGTATCTCTTCCCTTCAACCATCACAAGCATCCTCGCTTTCTCAACTCTCGTCTTCGCAATTGAAGGATCGCTTTCTGTAAGTTTTCATCCCTCGGTATTCCCCCTTCTTCTTCTTTTCCTTTTTCTTCTTCTTCTTTCTCTTCTCCTTTCTCCTCTCCTTTCTCTTCTTCTTTCATCCCCTCCTTTCCTCTCCATCACACACAATCCCTTTCCCCTTCCAAGTAAACCCTCACTAACACCCCCTCTCCCCAGCAACGCGTAATCTGCATCGCCAAAGGAGAAGTCTGTCACAAAACCGGCGAAGCATGCTGTGATGGATTCAAATGTGCGCTTGCGCATGGAGGAAAAGCGGATGTGGGGTATTGTACTGAGAGTGGACTTTTGTTGCAGGATTATTATCAGGCGGGTTTGCCTTGAGGAATTGAGGGATTTGTAGGAGGAAGAGGGGGGAATGGTGCTGGGGCTGGGATTTGTTAGGTGGTTTGAGAGAGGGCCGAGGGGGATTTGGTGAGGAGAAGAGAGGTTTGTGAAGAAGGTGGTATGGTGCTTGGGAGTGTTTATGTGATTGTTTATGGTTACGATGTGGTTTGGTTAAATCTTTGTGCTAGGTTCGGATTGTATTTGTGGGAATTCGGTCTTTGTAGACAGTAAGGTGCTAGGGGGGGCTAGGTCAAGTTGCAAATTTCATATCAATCATGTCAAGCGAACAATATAAAAATCAAAATTGAATGTCAAAATTAAATTGTATCAAGGTGTGCTTACATAGAGATTACCTGATGGTTAGAGGGGCTCATAAATATGGGAAAGGAAATGGAAAGAAGGTGATGTTGGAACGGGACATGTAAGAAAAGAAGATGAACTTACAGTTGATCAGGGATCCAGTGCTTACCAAGAATTCTTTGAGAAGGAATCAGTGGCATTGCCATGCTCTGCCTCATTTCTCCTCCCTTCTTTACTTTCTGTGATCATCTCTCACTGGAGTTCTCCCTTTCCGATTTTCTTCAATAGATCTTCCAACCGTTTCTCCTCTTCTTCGTCTTGTCGACGCTTCTTTTCTTCTCGCTCGAGTCTTTTCTCCTCCATCTGAAGGTCTGCCTCCTCTTGCCTACGTCGTTCCTCAAGATTTCTCCTATGCTCTCTCTCTTGTTCCTTCTTGCGGTTTTCGTCCGCAATTTCCTTGTGTAGCTTACGTTCTTCTTCCGCCCGTTCTTCTTTCCCAGAAAAGACCCTTATACCGTAGTAATAAGCTTGTGCTGGGCGTCCGAGAGCCATGAGGACTTCCACTATAGAGAATTCGTCGACCGTCTTGTGGAAACGTTCTTTGCAGAATTTCCTCAACACTTCTTCATCTACGGTACTTGCAAAATTGACTAAGGATGCGCAAACAGTTATCCAATGGTAAACCTCTTCGTCGTCGAAAGTTGATTTATGCTGTCTGAATTCGATTGTCTTCTTTACCTTTTCTGCGTCCGTTCCGAGGTTACAGATGGAATATGTGAGTCTTTTGAATAGGCGATCTTCCTCTAGTTCTGGACTTGATAATAACTTCACAAGTTCGTCAACTGTGTCTCTTTCCAGAATAGTGTCTATGATGAAATCTTCGTCGAATTCCCGCAAACTTTCTTCTGCTCCTGATTTCTCTGTCTCAGCTCGATAATCTCGTGCTACTTGCGCAAGAAGGCTATGTGTTCTTACCGGTTTGGAAAACGCCCTCTGTGTCATGTAATGAGGAGGATGAATGGTTGCGATTTGATTTTCAAAAGTGTAAACGAAAGCCATAAATTTCCTAATTATGCGAGCATCAAATCCTTTCTGTCCGTTACCGATGTGAACGTGAATGTCTGCGCTCAAATCACAATTAGTCCTGTAAACTGAGTCGATGCATTGAAGTACATTTCTTACCTTTAGCTTATTTTCTTCGCTGTAGAAGTATGCTGGGCTTTGAATCTCGATTGGCCACCAGAAATATGTGGGTTCATTAGGATTATGACTTAGACCATGGTTGATAGTGGTGTCATTAGAGATTACCCAGTACTTTAAATCTTCGATGCTAGGGTTTTCAGGTTGTTCTTCGTCAAGTTGGGCCACGGCTGGAAGTCCATTTTCAGTAAGAAGTTTTGCCATGTCTATTTGTAAAGCATCTAACTGGGTCGTAAAGTTGTTAGTTGTTTCTTTCCATAGTACCTCATTCTCCTCAATTGCATCTGGGGATCCCAGGTAAGGAAGGAATTGATCTTTGGGGTGATTCTCCGACCTTGTGATGCCGTGTACGCGACGAGGATCATCAGGTTCTGGATCAAGGAATTGATCGGGCAACGATTTCACAGCGAATTCAAGCTCAAAGCCGAATGTCACCACAATTGGGCTTATCGGTGGGAGGGTGTTTTCTTCCGCCATTTTTGATTGATGTTAGAATATGGACTAATAACTATCTCTCAAAAACTTCTTTTATGGCCAGTAACGCAATGCCCTTATTATATAGCAACAATGAGTTCTTTGTATAAGGTGGAAGCTCTTCAACGTCTTTATCTTTCTGTTCTTTCTGAACAACATGTACTGAAAGAAAGTTGAAGGGTGTTGTTCAATCTTTGTACCGATGATAGATCTTTCTTTGTGCTCCTGGCTATTCGATGCTCAAGACACAAGGGTTGATCAGGCATTGTTCAGCAAAAGGGAAGCACGTTGGCAATCGTGATCCAGTGGAAGTTTGATCCATTGATCCTACATCTGGCATGAAATCTCAGACGCGATTGTGATGATGATGAAAGGGGATGAATTATCAAGACTTCCTGGTAGTATTGATCCTATTGTCAGCTCGTTCAGTTAATTCGTTCAGATGGGCAGATATATCTCGGTACTCTTCCTATCCAAATCATCCAACAAGCTTATCATAATACTATGGGAAAAGGCCTCGGTTCGAGAGTGAGGGTTGTCCAGTATTCAATTCGAGCCTGGATGTAGTCCATTAGTTTGAGTCGAGGATGGCTCTTATAGTTCGATTGTTGTTTCATCTTAATTCTCAGCCTTGACAAGTCTTGAGCCATCGTCAAGATTAGTTCTTGGAGAGAAATCCGATCAGATGAGTGATCCGTTGCAAATGCGTGATCTGCCGCCCCCAAAACAAAGCTGCACAAGGCCGTGAATATCGAAATCGATGAATGTTTCCCCATTTCCGCCATTTTCCAAAAGGCTAAGGTCTATTTCACGGTTTCTAAATTCCTCAGGCGTTTGATGGTGATGTCTGATTTTGTGGCTTTCTGTCTGGAAGACGTGTCACAGGGTCGAAGTGGCGGCGCTGGTCTGAACCTACACGTGATCGTAAGTTTAGTAAGACAGAGGTAATACTATCGTTGCGAGTTTAATACAGGAACATGACAAGTAGTAACTTGGGTTGTGATCTCTTCTTTTAAATGTTGAGTTTATGTTCTATGTCCTTTAAAGTGCTTAACGCAAGGGGAAGTTTTACGATGCTGTGTCCTTACATCTTTGTTAGTCACACATTGGCGTCTTGTCAGCTTACTGGGGCTGACAATGACTATCTGCCCACCGAGAAGCTTCCCAAGCATCAACAGTGAGAAATACAACAGATTCCTCCTCGGACGAGAAAAATGGCACGTCGTCCTCCCGACGATTATTCATATGACCGTCTTCGTAGTCCTCGCCGAGCAGGAACGTTACCTGTCCGGTTTGATGAGAACCCCACACAAATACCAGAAATTGGTGTTCACCGTTGGCGCGGTGGGGAACAGCACTATGTTGCTGAACCAAGTTCCTCACGCGGCATCATAGATGTTGAAAATGATTGTCACGACTTCTACGATGATCAGCGAACAACCAGATCATCCCGCCGCTTTGTGTCTCCGAGTCCACCACCACCTGACAGTACTAGAAGTCGTCCCAGAAGTCCGTTCACAGCGTCTGTCAATCATCGCAGAGACCAAGCGACATCTTATTACAACTCGGCGCCTTCTCCTGTATTCTTTCATGAAGGATTTGGTGACAAAATTTATCTGAAAAGAGCGGCTGAAAGAGAACAACCTTACTCTAC